TATCAAACATTTTGGCATATCCTGGAACAGGTATTTTCCATCAGATATAGATATGTTGAACTTTAAGCCTAGTTATCTTATATAGCTGTAATACTGAGATATTAAAAAGTGTTAAATTCCTAAGAAAAATAACAGTGGCTCTAAATATAATGAGGTAGTTTGACTTACCTTCTTTTCTATTTTACTAGAGTTTTTTTCTAGGGAGAAGGGGATTTTTTTGTTGATTTTCTTAAATAACAATGTGCAGCATTCTATCCACTCCCTGAATTTACTCCCTGGAACTTGCACATAAATGATCCTTTCTTTTTGCACCTAAATAAGCCATTTATTTCTTTTAATTGTAATAACTATGAAATACATGATTTTAATGGTAATGTCTACACATACAAATTTGACATGCTAAAGGGAATTTCATCAGGAATCTCTTGGTTTCTGAGAGCTATTTTATGGGCATTATACATTCAGTAGTAAGTCATACCACCTTTTCTTAAAAAACACATTTCTATTCATGTTTGCAAGCATTTTCCAATTGGATACATTCAATTTAAAATCACCTAGAATACAGCAATGGGTTTCGGTTTGGGAAATGTATTTGAAGTCCACCTGCTATATCTTAGTACCGTAGGGAAACTGTTGATACCACCTGCAAGATTTATGGAATTGAATAAGTTTATATATAAGTTGAAGCCTAAATATTTGCATATAATATTATTTTGCTGCAGACTGTCTTTGACGTCCTGAACAAGACCACAAACTTACTTTCAAAATATAATAATTTCCAAAAGGGGCCGGGGAGATGGCTCAGTGGAATAAGTGCTTTCCTGGCAAGCACAACGGCCTGAGTTCAACAAAAAAAAAATTTCCAAAATATCCCAGCACTGCCTATTTTCCCAGAAAACATATATTTCATACGGTTTTATAGGTAGCAAATGCAATGTAGCTCAGGAGATTAAGGCACGTTTGCATTAGATAACAGTTTATAAAATGCTTTAGAGATTTTTCTTTATTTTTAAATATAATAAAAAATAGTAAAAAAAAGTACAGACAATACAAAATTTCACTGAACAATATATTAGAAATTCAACAATGGTTGCTATATTGCATGTCTTTAAATTAGTTATTTAGATTACAAGATATAAGCACACAAAATTGGTTTAAAAATAGTTATAGGAAATTAAAAGGGAGAAGAGAAAAAAATAGACATTAATTGTTCCTTTCAATAGACCAGCAGAAATCAGCAATTACCCAAGCAATCATATATATCATATATATGATAGCAACTGAATGGCATAGGAAAATTGGACATCCTGGCTCTTGGTTCATGTGCTACAGTGCTTCCTATGCTACATAAGACATTTATAGCCAGACATAGTGTCACATGCCTGCAATCCTAGCACTTGGGAGCTGAAGCAGGAAGATTACCAAGAGTTCAAAGCCACCCTAGACTACATAGTGAGTTCAAGCCCAGCCTGAACTGCACAGTGAGCCCTGTCTTGAATAAAATAAAATTAAACTAAAACAGAAAAAAGAAAAATAATAGTAATACAGAGACAGTATATAATAATATCAAGACATTAAAAGCTGTGCAAAAGACACAAACTCTGCAGATTGCATAGCTATCATTTATAAAGTATCACTTGTGAGTTTTACCAGGGATGCTCTGAAGACAGTGCACAAAGTGTCAACTGTTTAAAGTTCAGGGCATCCCATAGATAACTTGAATTTAACATTGGTAAAAGTATGTACACCATAGAAAAGGCAAACACTAGAGGAAATTAGGGCATTTTACCCCTCTCAGGGACCACAAAAGGCCATTGATTCTACCCATACAAGTTAATAAAGAAAAACACAGTATTGAGACCCAGTCCTAGCCCAGGTCCGGTGAGTGTGTGGAGAGCTTCCTGCTACCCTGGGACCAGTCCCAGCCCAGGCACAGTGGGCCGGACCCTCTCCCACCCACTTGGGCCGCCCCCCACCACTCCACAATACCTCCCCCACCTGGCCCACCAATTAGAAATTTCTGCCACATTCCAGGAACACTCAGACCCAGTCCCTGCCCGGGTCCGGTGAGTGTGTGGGAGAGCTTCCTGCTACCCTGCACCAGGGGGACCAGTCCCAGCCCAGGCACAGCATGGGCCAGACCCTTTCCCACCCCCTTGAGCCACCCCCCACCACTCTGCAACACCTCCCCCAGCCCGCCCGCTGAGTAGGAATTTCAACCTCTTTCTGGGAACTACCATACCCAGTCCTAGCCCAGGTCTGGTGAGTGTATGGGAGAGCTTCCTCTTCCCCCTACTTCACCTTGCCCCCTTCAGGCACAGCTCAGGCCAGGCATACATGCCTGGGGTGTAACCCTGCAGCTGCATTTCCTGCAGAGAGTGTAGAGGATAGATCCACCCAGTTAGTCCAGGAGCAGAACATCTTGCCACAGGGGGACAACAGGTTCACCCTCAAGGGCAGCAGATGGAAGGAGCTGAGCACAGCAGCCAGACCCAAGCCAGACACAGCTGGATAAGGCCAAACATTGTAGAGCTGCACCTGAACTTCAGTACGTGCGAACGTTATAAATACAGCAAAGATCTACAACAACAGTCAGAAAACAGTGTTACAAAAAATGACGAGAAGGAACAAAATGCAACCTCAGAACCCAAGCCCACTTTTAGTACACTTCTTTCTTCTCATTGAATTGAGCGAAAGTAAGTGCAGAGGACACTAACACAGAAAAAATTGGAAATCACACAGCTCAAAGCAATGAATCAACGGCTTCTGAAATAAAGAGCTGTAGAAAGACACAGAAGACCTCAGATTGGAAATGAAAAAAGAAATCCCTAAGTTAATAACATCTGCACTAAAGAATCAAATGTAGAAACATATGAAAGAAACTCGGTGCCCACCCAGAACAAGTGCGGAGGACACTGGCTCGGCTCAAATGTATGAATTAATAGTGTCGATAGTAAATAAGCAACAGCAGAAAGATGTAGAGGACATCAGAGCACAGTTCTTTTATAAAATGTAAAAAGAACTCACAGAACTAATAGCAGATGAAGTAAAGAAGTAACTACAGAAACATAAGCAGTAAACCTAATCTGAAAAAAACATTGCAGTAAAAGAATTTCTAACTGCTTCTAAAGACAAATTGATTAAAAAAAAATAGAGGAGA